AAAACCAACAACATTCTTGGATCCAAAGAAAAGTCCTAAACTTTGTATGGAACCGGAAAGAACCAGAAGAGCCAGAGCAATACTAAGCAAAAACAAGAAAAGTGGCAATGCAGCAGAATTCCCATCTTCAAGTTATACTATGAAGCTATAGTAATGAAAGCAGCATGGTACTAGCACAAAAATAGACATGAAGACCAATGAATGGGACAGAAGATGTAAATAAAAACCCATGCAATTTCAGCCATTTGATTTTTAACTTTTTTTTTATTAGTATATGTTTCCAGTTCCTCTGTTCTCCCCCGTCCTTCTTGTAATTCCTCTACCGCCATTTTCATTTTTGTTGGTGTTACTCATCTTAGCTCATGTTATTGCCTCTACTGTGAACATTCATTGCAGTTGTTTGATTTTTGATAAAGAGGACAAAAGCATATGCTGGAGAAAAGATAGCTTCTTCGGAAAATGGTGCTGGGGGAGCTGGTTATTCACATGCACAGGATTTAAAGGAAATCCGTATCCCTCACTCTCTGCCAAAATCAAATCAAAATGGGTCAAAGGCTTAGATATCATCACTTTGAATCAGCTGGAAGATAACGTAGGGGAGACACTGGAAGCCGTAAGCATGGGCAAGAACTTCATAAACAAAGCCTCAAGTGTACAGAAAATACTATATTTTTATCTTTGCTGTTAGTTTTTCTTTTCTCTTTAAAATAAAAAAAGAATTAATGAATGGAATTACATCAAATAGGAGGAAACAATCAACAAAGTGAAGAGATAACCAACAGAACAGAGAAAATGTCAGATAAAACTAAGGTCTTATCTACCTTTTATTGCTACAACAATCTCAAGTAATAAATCACCCCACACTCAGTAATTTAAATTTTTATGCTCCTAGTTGCTGTTGGCTGCAATATGCTTAGGCCAGAGAGAATTCAAAATAAAATGAAGAAAATTCTATTGGAGCTGAAGGGGGAAATCAGTCCTTACTGTTGGGGAAGGCTGCTTTTTGCAATATTCTTGAGTGTAGAAACACGGAAGTCAGAAAATAAACTTGATGAACAGTGTTGTCTAAGAGGGTTTCTGGGCAGAAGTGTATCTCAGCTAACTGCTTCTCGTAGAATTCAGGAAGAAACTAAGTCAGGCTAGCAAAAGAGATGCAAAACAGTACTGCACCAGGACTTGACTTTAAAAATAAAACTGCTGCGTATCTGTAGCCTCTCCAGGTAACTGTGCTACAATGAAGAAACACGTTCTTTCCAGGAGGAATAAACCTTGAAGCACTGTAGGAAAACTACATCCAAAGGCAGAAGGAAAACTGTGACTGCAGAGCACTTTGACATCGCAGAAATATTTAAGGCGGTCTTTCCTAAAGATCTTTTTTTAAATTTTTTTTTAATTTTAAAAATAAAAGGAGGAAAACATTAACAGACAGACAACCATTTACATAAGAGCAAAAGAACAATACAAACAGTACAGAGTTACAAACAAAGTGGTAGGAAATTAACAATGCTTGTTGTATTACATATTGCTATTTTCAAAGGGGTATCTTATGAAAACAAATAGAGACATGCGATATTGATCAATCAAGGACTCATTAACAGTTTCTTTCAGCAAAGAAATAGAAGACAGTAGATCAACTATGTTAACTGTCCTAAAGACCTTTGACAGATGTGAGGGTCTCCTGATTGTTTCAGGCAGGTCTGCCAGAACATCGCTCTGAACAATGAGTCTTCTTCAAATGTTGACTGCTGTACAGGTGATGTTTCACAGTACTGGTGCGGGGTTTTTATGGGGAAAAAAAAAACCTAACTCGATGATATTTGTGGAAATCACTTTTATCTCATCAGATAAACTCCAATAACGTTTGTAGGAAACCCACAAAAAATTTACAGGAATTAGAGCAGTTTAGACCAAAATGAAATGTGAAAAGAACTTTGGACCTCCAAGCATCTATGATAAGAAGCAGCTGGAAGACCACTGACCTACGCAAGCACATGTTGTTATCACTTGTAGGAAATAACGGAAAGCCCAACAGGCTGACTCCAAAGCCTGAGGGAAGGGAAGAGGCAGGGAAACCCACTCGCTGAGCAGTAGTGAAGGAACGAAAAGGCACATCCCTCAAAGGGCTCCAAAATTGCCGTCCAGCCACCGCTGTGTGCATCCTGTTTCTTGCTTCTGAGCCCAAGGATCTCGAGGACTGTGCCATGTCCTCGCAGCGCTGTGCACTGGTGACAAGAATGGAGAGGTAGGTAACGTGTCTCTAGTTCACCCGTCTTCTAACCCAGAGGAGCAGTGCTGAAGAGCTGCAATCACAGCACAGGAACCTCATCCACAGACGGACCTGACTGAGATGAGGAAATCCTAGACCTGGAATCTGAGCCATAAGTGTATGAAACTTGGAAAAGTAGCCTGAGGAGAAGGAACAATGTCAGGGCCTTTTGCTTATGGGAGGGTGAGTTTCCTGCGACCAGAGGGCAAAGTGTGACAGAATGTATTTTCAGAACAGTGTTTGTTGTGTCTGCACAGAAACACTGTCATGTCCTCATCAAGAAGCTGAGTCTGTCCACTTCCATCCACGTCTACATGGAGCGGTTCTCTCACTGTCTTCTTGACTAAGGGGATGTGGCAGAAAGGATTCTGTGTGCCTTCTAAGGGTAGGACTCATGTCAATTCGCTCTCTTGGAATACGTGCTGTTGGAGCCCTGTGTCACCATGAAAAATTTCATCACAGTAACAGTGCATGCGTGGGAGAGGCTATGAAGAAACTACATAGAAATAGGGTCCCCTGTCTATAACTTAAAGGAGCACTGGTTAGCGTAGGGCCAGGGTTCAAGACAGATGGGACATGTCAGTGAAGACACTCTCAGATGACATCAGCCCCAGCCAGTCTCTGACAGGACATCAGTTAGACAGCCCAAGACAGAGTCACCACACAATCTGCTCACAAGCTCTTCACCACAGAAGCCACCTGATGTAATAATAAGGCATTATAGGCAGCTAACTGTGGGGGTGATTTATTACAAAACAGGAGAATCTGAAACGTAAGAGCAATGTACACTGTACTATTGGCACATAAATAAAAAATTCACACAATAGAAAACTAGAACCTAGAATAATTGGCATGTAGATGTTCATATATGAAAATGGCAGTGCAAAAAAGAAAAAGAAAGAAAATGGTAGTGCAAAATAGTGAGGGATTGAGTGGTTGATAAAATAATTGTGCAGGAAAAATGTAGCTATTCCTATATTCAGAAAGCAAAGTGTATTTCTAACTCACACCATATTGGAAAGGTCAAACACTATGTGGACTAAGTAGGTTAATCTGGGAAGCAGAACTTTAAACTTTTAGAGACAGTTACCTTTACATAAAACTCAAGACAGGGAAGAACTTTGAAAAGTAACAGCAGAGCAGTTGCTTTTTCCCTAAATTCAGCCTCTTGTCTGTGTGATATCTGCAGGGTGAACCCTTGATCACACATGGGCTCACACTAGTATCCAGATGCCAGATTCATCACTTCCAATAATATGTTTCTCATTCTCTGGGTTGGGTGTCTTTCCTGTTAAAATATCTAGAATACTTTTCATTTCCTCTTCCAAAGAATAAATGAAATTTCACGGCTGGCATTTATTCGATATGTGCTGAATAACTGGCTGCATCAGTGTTGCTAAGTTTCATAACTAAGTCTATGGTAAGTTCAGAAAAGGGTGAAAAGAGAAATGCTAGGGTTTTTTGTTCAGTTTAGCATATATTATGTTGTGGGTTGACTTTTCAACAAGATGATAGATAATTTCGGAGCTCTTAAAAATGATGCTCACCTCATACTTGTACCACAGTATTTGATCTCTAAATGTAATTGACAGCAATGTACACAGAGAAGATAGCTTTGACTTATTACTTCAGTCAGTGAGATCACACAATTTGCAGAGAACCAGAAAAGTGTAAAATATGTAACATAGAACAATCTGTGCACCCCGGGAGTTTAATTTAGTGTAGGGAGATTTGGTAGCTTCACCATGATACAAGAGACTAAAATATATATTTCAACTATTGGAAAAGGCTAGCTGATCTAGACATACAGAAAGGCATTGGATAATAATATCTCTGTTTAAAAGTTGATTTGAATATATCAAATCAAGCATACACTTACTACATATCAACCCTATGCTTTAACTCTGTCACACCATAAAGTTAACAAACTTTGTTTCTCATGAGGTTATCCTCAGTTAAGAACGTCTGCTACTGGAACTTTAAATCAATTTGACCAAGAAATGTGTTATTTCTGTTGGATTAAGAGTTTTAATGATCTAAATTATTAAATTCAAAGTATCAGTCCTCTAGATGAAAAAGAACAAGTTCTACTGAGCCATATTTTATGAGACAGGAGGTGCCATGACCCACAAGCAAAATAAGTTTCAACATCATCATAAATGGTGATAAGCTGGTAAGGCAATGAATGTTAATTATCTTGCTTCAGTCTTACTACAATGTACATATAGATCAAAACATCTTATTGTACCCTATAAATCATGCAGTTATTATCTATTAGTTAAAAATAAACACAAATTTTTAAAACAGCAAATAACTTCAAATAAAAGTAAAAATTGCCACCCACCAAAGAATCTTAGAATAGAGTGATTATAGCAGGGTATGGTGGTGCATTCCTGTAATCCCAGTACTCAAGTAGCTGAGACAAGAGGATTGCCATGAGTTCAAAGCTCATGTGGGCTACATAGTACATTCAAGACCAGCCTGAACTACATAGTGAGGCCCTGTCTCAAAACAAACTATATATATATATATATATATATATATATATATAGTCATACATATATATGGTATTAAATATGAAATTCTCTTGAACTCTTAAGGGTACCTTACACTCCACTTAGACAAGGATTAGTTTTATAACTGTGTCAGAATAAATAGACTAAACCACCAAAAGAGAATGTGAAATGTAACCACTACATTTTTAGGACCTATTGCTGCAGTAAAAGAATGAATGTCAGGTTCTGTGTGAGCGATTTGGCCCTCTCCCAGCAAAAGTCAATTTTCTACTCCAAAGCTTCCTCATGGCACTTTTCATCTCCGCATTTCTCAGGGTGTATATGAGGGGGTTCAGCATGGGCGTGATGAAAGTTAGAACCACAGTCACGGATTTATCAATGGGAAATGTGGAACTGGGCCTGGCATACAGGAAGATACAAGGGACAAAGAATAAAATGAGCACAGTGATGTGGGAGGCACAGGTGTAGAGGGCTTTGCGCTTCCCTTCCAAACTGTAGCCCTTCAGGGAGTGCAGAATGACTCCGTAGGAAACAAGGAGGATCAAGAAAGTGACAGAGCAAATGGCTCCCCCGTTGGCTATCATGGACAGCCCAAGCAGGTACGTGTTGGTGCAGGCCAGTTTCAGTAAGGGGTACATGTCACACACAAAGTTGTCGATGACATTGGGCCCACAGAAAGGGAGCTGGTCAATAAAGAGAAATTGAACTAATGAATGGAGAAAACCTCCAACCCAGGCCACCAGCAGCATGAGAACACACACCCGCCGACTCATGATGGTCAGATAATGGAGAGGTTTGCAGATGGCCACGTAGCGGTCATAGGCCATCACCACCAGAAGAATGACTTCGGTGCCAGCAAATAAGTGATCGATAAAAACCTGAGTCATACAAGCCCGGAAAGAAATGGTCTTTTTCTCATACAGTAAGTCAATGATCATTTTAGGAGCAATGGTAGTGGAATAGACAGTGTCTATGAATGAGAGATAGGCCAGGAAGAAGTACATGGGGGAGCCCAGGGACTGGCTGGCCATGATTCTCACCATGATGAGCAGGTTGCCCATTATTGTCACAATGTAGATGAGTAAGAAGGTGACAAAAAGAATTTTTTGCCCCTCAGGATTCTGAGTGAGACCCAGGAGGATAAATTCAGTCACATTGTTCCTGTTTTCCCTGGGTTCTTCTGAAGGTGTTGAGCTGGGGTCAGAATCTGAAAACACAAGAGGCCAGTAGTGAATTCAAGGTGATGCCAAGCTTTGGGACAAAAGTACGATGCTGTTCTCAAAGATGTTTTCTCTCCTTGGCCTCACACGGAGGAGCTCACTAGAAAACGAGTGTTTGGGATCTCCTTCTGCTACGGTCCTACTCATTTTCACAAATTTCTTTCTTCAGTTGCAATGATGAGACTTCAGGCTTCTAACCAGCAGACATATGCAAGGGGATTTATCCATGAAAAATGTTAGTCCTACAGACCTGGAGAAGGAGAAGATCATTTTCTCATAAAGATTATAAACATTTTGGGAGCAACAGTGGCAGAACAGACAGTATGTAAAACAGTAAATCAACCCAAAAAAATACACAGGGGAACCCAGGGACTAACAAATATCAAGAATGCTACTTTTTCCAGAACATCTTTCATGAAGACTGCATTTTTGCACTGTATTTCTTTTTGCTGTTGTTCTCCTTTAAAGGCTTTGCCTTTTTGAGATCCACCATGAAAACAATTCATAGGTAATGACTTCACTCATATATTGATGCACAATTGTAAGTGTTACACACATGTATGGTTGTGATCAAAATATAGTGAATGTCTAAGTTTAAAACTGTTATTGCTCTAAGAGACAGTTCATTAATCCCTCTCAGAATAGCTCCCCCCTTCGACACACTTATCCCTTAGTTCTTGACACTTAATGAAGTGAAGCCATTCTGGGGGTGTTTGTGAGTCTAGTTGTGCTATCAAGGCTGCCTCGATGCCCTGAGTCACTTCTAATCCATTTTCCTTTCATATTATTTTGACTTTGAGGAAGATCCAGAAATGGATGATGCCAGCTCTGATGAATAAGAAGAATAAAGATACATCAGGGTGTTTCTATTTGACCGAAATTGCCCTAGATGTTTTATTTAGGATTTCAATGTCACGTGAAAAGATTCACAAGAGAGGACCCCTAGAATTACTGCAGAAAGTGCCAAGAACAATGCAATGTGTTCCAAGTGAATGGAAGGATTCTGAAGAAGTCAGTGACAATGTTCTTGATGTAATAATTTTTATTTTTAAATTAAGTATTGACCATATTTTCTCATCATATCTGTAAAATTATTGGCCAACATTTACACATTTACATGTGTGATACCTTATTATGAGCTTCTAGTAACTAGGACAGACTCACTCATAGTAGTTAGTAGCACATTGTGAGTGATTATTGAATGCTTACTAAACTTTACCTAATTAAGCTGAATTTCAAAGCTCATTAGGGCAACTGAACAATGATAAATAAATTATTCCCAGTCATAAAAGCACAATAAAGGCACATAAACTGAATTGACACTAATTGCAACCCAGGTTTTGAAGGAAAAAAATAAGGTAGCACACCATGATCGTATAGTGGTTAGTACTTTGCCTTGTGAAAGGAAAAAGGTGAGTAAGACAAGGATAGACACAGCACAGACATTTTTTCCACTTTCCAAATGGGTTTAGTACCAACTATCACTAACAGGAATCAACTCAAAATGTCAAAAAATAAAGACATTTAGGTAGAATCATGGTACAATACAAATAATTCTATAGGAACAGTTTGGAAATATTAGTTGATATTTAGACCAGTTATGATGGTATCATGTCCTACCTTTATTACCTTATCAAAAATGTTATGGCCTATTCAGATGTGTTTTCTATATGCCTATTATTGAGCACCTTATTCAAAATGGCACAATAACATTTTTGCTAGTAGATCATTTGTATGTTAATCAGAATGATTTTGCTTAAAGCATCTGTGAACGACATTGCTCATATTATTAGCTCTTGGTTACCAGAGTCCATATTGTACATGAGATATTTATTGTCACCTGAGTCAAAAAAATCATGTGTTGAGCCTTTCAGATGTGATCAAGGGTCAACTTTAAATGTAATGTGTATAATTCATATTTTCAAGATTATTTTAAATATGTTCCATGTCATACATTTCTTGATGATCATTTGTGAAAGTCAAGAGATTATTCTAACTTTTGTACTTCCATTGAAGCAAAGCTACACTCAGGCATTTCATCTGAGGATGTATTATGTGAGATATAAAATACTGGGAAACATTTTCAGTCTATTAGATATGTGAAAATATAACTCTGAGAGGTTGAGCTTTAAGCCAGAAAGTTTTAAAACCTGATAACAGTCTACAGTTACATATGTTTCTGTTTAACTTCTATAGTAAAAGCTGTTTTCTATGGAAATAATACCTTTTTTGAAAGATGAGCAATAAACATAGAAATAAGGCAACGAAAATTTGATGTTTTAACAAAAACTAAATCAGCTCATCAGATTGCTTTAAAACAAGATTAATGTTAAATATAGCACACCTTTTTTGCTAGTCCGTTCCTTCATTGTAAAATAAAACTGTTGCCTGTGAAACCTGCTGGACATGCTAGGGAAGGAACTGCAAAATATGAAGGAACCAGAGATTGTTTGACTTAAAAGTTTGACAGCACCACCTCATCTCTTTGTAACCTCCCCAGAGAACTACACTAAAACACAGAAACACACTGGTCCTGAAGGAAGTCCAGAACATTGTACAAAAAACATGTTTTAAAATGAATGCAGATTGGCTTTCTGAGAATAATACAAAAAAGTAGTTATTGGGGAGGTTCAGCTACTAAACTGATAAACATATCATTGTATATTCATACAAGGGAACATTATTTAGCCTTACCAAGGAGTGAAATTCTGATATATGCTACAACACAGATAAACCTCAGAGATAGCTTAAGTTTTTAAATAAGCCAGATGTAAAGGGACAGATATTTTATGATTTCACTTTTATGTGGTATCTAGAACAGCCATATTCAAGAGAAATAAAGTACAACAAATGTCACCAGGTTCTAGAAAGGGGAAGGAGTGGGAGTTATTATTTAAGGAGTACAGAATACCTGTGTGATCTGATGTCCTGCACACAACTTACCACAATTAAAACACAAAAATAAAACATCTATACAAAATTAGAACATTTTAATATAGTATGTGTAAGGTGACAATATATAAAAATAATGTCTCTAAATTACATAAAACTTGTATTATACTTTATATCATAAAATATTTAAGATAATATTTCTCATGTTATTTTGTTATTTTATACCACATATTTTCTCTCTTTTTTGTATATATTTAAACAACTTTATGGAATTTTTTTTTGTCTTTTTGAGAGAGGGTCTCACTATGCAGTTCAGGCTGGCCTTGAGCTCACTTTGCAGCTCAAGCTGGTCCTGAACTCACAACGATCCTCTTGCCTCAGCCTCATGAGTGCTGGGATTACAGGTATGTGCCACCACGCCCAGTTTAAACAACTTTAATATAAAATTTAGGGAAAATTATCGCCACTACATTGTAATGATTTTTTGCAAAGTAGATAAGATGCATGGGCTATCTTGTGCTTGCTTCTGTCATAAAACTTTCCAGACAAATTATAAATTTGCTTCTTAAGCAAGACACATGACACATTCTAAATAATTCTGACTGGCTCCATTAGAAGTATGAAAACTTGTATTACCTGGGTTTTCTATCTCTTCTTTGGTTCCTTGTTCCAAATCCAAGCACAAGGTATTGTATATCCATCTTCCCTTACAAAACATTTTACAGATTCAATTGGATTTATCCATAGTTGGCTTCAAACAGTTGATATGTGTGCTGTATCATCAAAGTTGAAAGCTATATTGAGAGTATGTATCAAGAATGAAATAAATTTAAAGCTTTGCTGCTGTGTTTGCTGACCAAATTAACTGAACAAATCTATTTGTAGTCTGGTAATCCACCATACTGGATAATTTACAAAATGGACTCTGTTTTGGATATTTCTAAAGGATTTACACTTGTCTTGGTTACTTTTCTCTCATTGCTGGGACAAAATACCTGATGCCCAAAATTAAGGAAGAAAAGGTTTATTTCGCTTACAGTTTGTGGAGGTTTCAGTGCATACTTGGGAGATTACAAGGCAGAGTGGCACACGGCAGAGGGCTACAGCTCATGGCAACAAAACACAGCAAAGCAACAAGCACACACACACAAGTGAGGAAATGGCCAGAAGCACCATCTTTCTCTCCCTTACATATGCAAACTATCCACACCAGGGCGGGTGTAGCTCTCACACCCATAATCAGTCAAACTCCAAAAGCCTGCCCCATGGCCGCATGAGGCTTTGGGGGGACACCAAGACACAAACCATAACAGCACTTCTCCAATAACCTAGTTCATACCTGGAAGAGCAATGACTCTTATTTTACGTCTAGACAGACATATTAATACCCAAAGCGAATTATTCTCTAAAGTAAGAGAAGATATGGCTGGATACTCAACAATAAACACAAAGTGTGTCACGGAGATGTTCAAGTTGTTGTTCCCAAGGCTGTGTGTTCCAAATTAAATTCACTGAGGAATCGTGCCCAAGAGAACACATCCCTTCTATGTGATCTTTCCAATGTGATCATTCCAATGTTTCAGAGGCTTCCCCTGGACAATCACTTTAGACTAATTAAGTGAAAAGAGATCAGCAATCTGGCAAAGGGTAAGTCACTGCTAAAAACAAAAACAAAGGTTACATGAATAAAAATAGCTTCTTTCCAGTTAATCAACATGTGTTTGAAAGTCTGAAATCCAAGAAAACACTTGCATGACAGAGAAGCTTAAGGGTTTTTGTAGAGCAAACATTTCTAAAGAGAACAGCGGGTCATTGCAAATTAACTTAGTAAAAGTTTAATCCAAATAAGGAGCGATAACATCCTAATTTTAAACCCTTTTCAGAAAAAAATGACCTTTATTGAAAAGAAATATAGAAACAAGCAATTAGGACCTAGAATTTTAAAAATATTATTATAAAACAATATACAGAAAAATAATACAAATGAAACCCAGAAATGTTGACCCTCATTATTCAGATGTCTTTTATATAATGATAGAAGCTCTTTAAACCTCTCTCTATATACAGTCTCCAAACACCATATAAATATAAAATATCACATAGAATTAATGCAGATGAAGTATCCAAGGACACTAAGTGCAGAATGCAGGTTATGAGAAAACAGACAATGGCAAAATGTAAATATACTCTGACCTTCAATTCCCCATTTACTAGACTAAGAAAATAAAAAATAACAAAGAGTCGTTACAAGCTAAATGTTTTATAAGATACCCAAATTCTTAACTCTCACTCAAACCATGTAGAACACATGCTTCAGGATTTCAAAATAAAGAGAAGGCAAAAATTTGTGTAACTCTATGCAAAGCTATGGTTAAAAGAGAAACTATTACAATTAAATTCATGACTCCCTCCAACAGAATTTAAAATCCAAGACTATATCAAAAAATCATGAATTGATTTTCCAAAGAAACTGTTTGTTTATCATTGATATTAACCTGTGTGGACTTATTAAGACAGTGCCATGCTGATAATATGAAGAAACTGGGTATCAGTCACCTAAGGAATATACCTATAAAGGGAGCTCAGTGATCCTGATACAACGGCATCAATCACCATAAGATGTCATATAAAATAAATAATGACTATCCTATCCATTGTTCAAGTCACAAAAACTCCAAGCATGGCTCTTGTAGAACTTTGTTGTCACCCTTAGTTCTGATTGTTCTCTGAAGCATTTGCAATCAGATTCATGGAAGAATTGTTAACAAGTACTACAGACAAGTGGTTCTTTCTTTTACTATCTTTGGTAAAAACTGGTATAACAAGAAAATTTTTCCTTGGTTCAGAACTGTTTTATAAACCGAATTTGTTTTGTTCTGGTTTATTTGGTCTTATATTTTCCTTTTAAGACTTTGTAACAGCCATCTCTTGAAATTCTGCAATGTACAACTCCTAAAAAGAGATACGACGCAATGTTTTGAGAAGTTGACTATCACCTGCGAAATACATAAGATTAAACTCGATGAGTTTGAGGAAAACAGCCTCACAGCTTCTCCTTCTAAATATCTTTGGTGCTCAAATGTGGCTAAAAGTGTTATGACACTGAGTCTACTATCAATCACTTCCCCTCCAGTGTGGGACCAGTTAATTCCAACAAACAGAATTGCGGCAAGAAGATACAAATGAAAATGTACCTAAAGAATGATTGACCAGTGAGGCCTTTTGAAAGAGTCTCAGAAAGACAAGAGGAAATATAAGAAATGCATGACAGCTGTCAAAATCAAATGGAAGAACTTCGGTCAGCCTAAAAGTTAAAAACCAAGAACTTTTGACCAAAGGGATCTTACACATGAAAGCCTGAATGCAACTGTACCAAAGGACTCTGCAAAAATCATAAATTTGTCCTGAGTCAACTTGACTCTGATTTACCAGACCTGCCATTGAAGTTAAAAATCTTGAAATGTTCACACTGAGAACAATTATATGGACACAGCATGATACAAAGCCCGGCATACAAAGGTAGTCTAGGAAATAATAACCAAGTGGATTGTTGGCTATACAATGAGTATTGTTCTCTACTATTCTTTAGTGACACAACTGACGGCAGTAGAAATAAATGTTGAGCTGGAACAACACTCACTGCTCATAGCCAAAAATAGATGATTGCTCTGTGGACTCGGACTTATACTTACCTTCTTTGGATGGTGTTAAATACCGTGCCATGTCTTCCACCTGGTATGAAAACCAATGAATACAACTAAGCCTCCACTAGGGTATGCTATGTTTGATGGCCTAGAGTGGCTTGGTACCACACAGATGAAATTAAGAGAGGTGGAAGTTTCTCTCTTTGTCAAAAGAAATGATAGCAGTTACATCTCTCTACCCTGTGCCAATATGAGATGGAGCCCCACAAGTCAAAGAAACTTTGCTGGCTTACTGCAGGGCACCATCTACCTGGAGTGGCAGTGCTGATCAGCATGTGAAGGGTTGGTCATGAGTAGGCAGCATTAGTGGATGACCACACTTCAATCAGACTATCTCATGCACTTGGGGAGACCTCACATTGCTAATTTTAAGATATCTTTCTTTTTCATTTTCACTAGCTGTAATTCTGCCTTCAAGGTCTGAAATCCTATCCTCCCCTCTTGTTCAACCTGTTGCATATACTTTCAGTGGGGGTTTTAATCTCTTGGATTTCTGTTTGGATCTGTTTTGTGGATTCCATTTCTTTTCTATGCTGGGCAATATTTGTTTCCATCATGTTTCTAGGCTCATTTACTCTTTAATCTGTGTCTTCTCTAATATCTTTGATTTTAAGCATCATTTCTGTACCTGAGAGATTATTTGTTCCATAGCCTTTTCCACTTATTTTTTCACTTTTGCTGCTACCATTTGAGAAAGTTCCAGTGTCTGATTTCCAATTTCATCTCTCTCCTTGAATTCTGGGTTTGTGCTGGGTGGGCTTGGGGCCTGGGGCTGCATTTTTGCTTCTGTGTTTTGTCCTTTTGTATTTTTTCTGTTATGTTTTGTTTGCTATGTTGATTCTTGCCAGTTGACTGCAGACCTCACACTGAAGCAGAAATCCTGACCTAACTGCAGCCATTTTGTTCAGTAAAGCTGCAGTCCTTCCGTTCTCTGCCACTGAACTCAGCTACGTTATGTGATTTGTCATCAAATTAAAATTTCTGTGAATGTGCTGAAAACAACTTTGTTACATACAACTACGCTCATTGCACAGGATACACATCGCACCGTGGCTTTCAGCTAGAAGCTTAGCTCATGCTTGTAACTTCTGTTGCCAACTTATACAAATACAAACTTTCAGCAAACCTCACCTCAAACTTTGGAGGTTACTCCTGTGAGGTGTGCTAGCATCAGTAAAATTTCCTTTCTTCTCCTGAGCTCATGGCTATTGTTGATTCAGTTTTTCCCACAACAACATAATGAGTCACATATATCCTATTTTTTCTACAACTCCTACTTATTGGGATCTGATAGGTGCTGTACATAAGGTAACCCAAGCTACTTGGTGGTTTTACCCACTTGCTATCCTTTCTCCCCAACAGGTCAAGGGTTTTGCTACACAAACTGCTGCCACCCTAAATTACATACAAAGACATGACCTTGCTTAATGAAGTAATTACTCAAGTGTAAAGTGTAAGACTGTAAAAATGATGATCACACATGCATATATATTTTTCTGGTCATTCTCATATACCGTCTTTAGCCCTTTATAAGTTGTAAAATCATTGCAGCTATAGATAAATCTAGTGTTGATCTGGTTCTCACTTGCTTATAATCCCACCACCTAAAAAAATATTTAGTCTGCTTGTTGTGCTGGCAGGACTTGTCACAATCTTCTGTTCTTTATATCATTGTGGGATTATGTTGACAGGCTCCAACCAAAGGCCATCAGAGAAAATAGTCTTGATAACATTGTAAGGGTGCCTAGGCAATGTAGAATGGAGTGTATATACCCTAAAAAAATACAGACATTTAGGATCATATCCCTGAGAAAACCCTTTTCTAGTCCCAAGACTCTTGCCAGATCAAGAGTGATTTCTGAAAAGAGTAGGTCCAGAATGTCAACAGAAGTATTATCTGAAAAATACTAGACCCTGGGAAAACTAGTACTATTCCTAGGAGCTGTCTTCCTGCCCAAATACTAAATCAGCCTCTTCTTGGAATGTTGGTAACACAATGGAACAAAGCGAATGTCATCGCTGTGATGAATCTATAAAGCCCTGCTCTGCAGTAACCTGGGTGAAGCTGTTGACTGATTTGTGTGTCTCACAGATTTTGGGCTGCTTACACTGTTGAGCTGTATGACTCTCCTGTGAGTTTTTGCTAGGTGGTGCTGTTGCAGTAGTACACGCTTACTTTGAGATTTGGTCAGGAGGAGTTGCTGGTGTCCTGTGGGATTTGGGCAGGTGCAACAATACTCTTCTCCTAGAATCTGGCCAGCAAAGGAGATTAACTTGTACCCCCCATTGTGGGATTTTGGCCAGGTGGAGCACTTGACAGTATCCCCTTTCTGTGGGATTTTGTAAGGAGGTGGTTTGGGATCCATATTCTCCTCCTATAGCCACACCCCACTTATTAGATCTAGTTAGTCCTAATACACCTTATCTTTTATAAATTCTGTCTCTGGGCATCTTCTTTGGTCTCTCAGAAGCCCATTGACCTTCCCAGCATTCTTGGGCTCTGCATAACACAGAGAGATACCACCCAGCCATAGAAGTTAAGGAAACTTTGTCATTTACATTAATACTGAGGAGTCATCAGGAAAGTGTTGAATGAAACAGGTCAGGAATAGATAGACAAATACTGCATTTCTCACATGTGAATTATAAAACGTTGAACTCAAAAGTAGACAGTAGAATACTGGTATCCAGGAATCAGGTAACCAGTGGGACTGTGGGGAAAAATTAAAAGAATATAAAATTTCAGATAGGAAGAATAAGATCGAGGCTTCTAGTGTACATCATAGTGGCTATAGTTAATGACAATGTAAAATTTTGTTGAAAACAATATTTTTAAAATGGTTGAGTGCAGGGGCTGGGGATTTAGCTCAGCGGCAAAGTGCTTGCCTGGCAAGTTCAAGGTCGTGAGTTCAGTTCCCGGTACCAGAGAAAAACCAAAAAAACCAAAACAAAAAAAAAAAAAAAAAAATGGTTGAGTGCAGATTATTAGTATGCTCATTACAAAAGAAGAAGTTATTTGGGTAATAAATATGTTGTTCAGCTCAACTTAGCCAATCAAATATATATATGATATTATATATAATGTATATCAAATCATAAATGTTCTTACTCATCAAATACAGCAAGATAGTGTAAAAAAAAGCCACAAGTAGAGAAGGGCTTGTGACATATAAACAATAACTAAGAGACATTGTAACACAGCAGTGTGAGGAAGAGAAGGAGAGATGTGGGTGCCCAGAAATCGAAAAGGAACTGAAGTGACAACTGAAGGCCACAGGAAGCTTGAAGAGAGATACTTCAGTGAAGGAGGAGGTGGCAGGAGGTGCTTTCTCCCTGAGCCCAGACTTGCCACATAGGAGGGGTGACTCAAACCTGCAGACACTCGGTGACTACTGGCCACCCCAGAGACCTCCACAGAGAAAGGCACCAATGGAATGGAACCCCAGAGATCTCCACGCAGAAAGGCTGCAGACTGCAGTGGCTGGTGAGTTATTCAGGTTCAGATGCCCCCGAAGATTAAATGGTTGGCCAGGAACCATCTTGGAGAGGGGCCGATTGAGCTCAGAACTCTGAACAGCTGTGGGCCAGTTCCACCCAATGACTCTCTGCATCAGGGTGAAGAAGCTGAATTCAAATAAGCAGGAGGTCAGGAACCCAAGTTAAAGCCAGCAGGAGGTACACGGAGTGTTACAGGCTGATCAAATGGGGTTTCAGTCTCACAACCAGAAACCAACCTGAGCTTCAGTGAAACTGGAGGTGCAGGTTTGCTGGGATTATCCACTACCCTGCCTTAAAGCTACGTATGGTTTTCTGGGCTTCATCATTATAGATCTGGACTCTGTCCGCCCACACTCTTTACCAGTGACAGCAGAGGCACACCATGAAATGTGTATTTCTTCTTCTTTTTTTCTTTATTTTCTTGTCTTTGTATTGTTGTTCTTGATTGTTTGTTTTTATTTTTAATATGATGGTGAACAGGGTTTCTAGTTTTCTGTTGTTGTCATTCTGTTCTGTTCTTGTCTGTATTTCTTTCTTGTCTCCTTCCCTCCTCTCTTATTCACCAGTTTTGCAAAGTTTGAGTAATCTTCCATTGTTCTTCAGCCTTGTTTCTAATCTCTTCCTCTTCTTCAGTTTCCCTAGTGCCCCTACAAACCCCTTTTAAATTTTTTCTCCTAGGGGTAAAATCACTCTATTGAGGGCTTATTTACTTTATATGATTTTCTGGTTCCCTTTAGATTTTGCTACATAACCATAAATCTAGTTCATATGTTTAAAGGTGGCAAATTAATAATTACCACAATTTGTCATTTTCTAGGCTGTATTTGATACTATTGATTTTGCTGCTTGTACTACGTTAGCCAAGGTGATATAATTGTTCTAATCAGTTGTTCTTCCTTTTATGCCAAGACTGAAATTGCCTAAGGATCACTAACAATACTATAGGCCAATGCCAAAGCACTTTGGGTTGGGCCAAGTAGGCAGCAACTTCTCATCCCAAATAAAAAGAGAGAGGATCTTGAAAAACCCTAAAGTCAGCTACACCTTGAAGGTATCTCTGATAACTTACTTTGAAAGTCTTCAAATTCTAGCAATAAAGCTACACAACATAAGCAATTTATAAGCATCAACACAGGAATAAAACTAAATGAGGAAACAAATGAGAAGACACCTAAATAAGATGAAACCTCAGATTTCCAGCTCACAAAGGAAAATTCAGGGGGCAAGGAGGTGGAGCAATTCAAAAGCCACTCACCTGGACACTCTGAATTTCATACAGTGAAAGTGACAGAGCAGATGAACAAAGATCTAGACAACATCAAATCAGAAACAATTTCTCAGATATCTACAGAGATGATGAGCATAATGACAGACGGGCTTAGTGACCATAGGGAAGATACAGAAAAAAACAAAAATAGAAGAGCTTAGGAAAATGATGAAAATCATGAATGCACAACATAAGAAAGAAAGAATCCATGAAATAGATTCAAACAAGTATTCAGGAGAGCAAAACCCCCATTGAAAGTATATGTAATTGATTGAACCAAGATGAGAAAAGAATATCAGATCTAGAAGATAGGACTTCAGTTAGTGATCATGAAAAGAAAGATTTCTTAAAAATAGCAAGGGATCTAGAAAAATGAATCCAGGAGGCTCTAGATGCAAGTAGGAATGAAAAAGGGTAAAATCACAACAGGTCCTACTGAAATAAAGGAGAGCATGAATACCTACTTTGAGAATCTGTATTCCAGTAAGACAGAAAACAGAAGAAATGGACAGATTTTTAGATACATATGAGCAAGTAAAGCTGATGAAGAAGACATAAAAATTCTAAATAAACCAATATCAGTCAATGAACTCGAAGATGTAAATAACCTACCAACAAAGAAAAACCCAGGCCCTGAGAGAGTCACTGCTGAATTTTATAAGAAATATTGAGATCACCTTATGCCACTACTACTCAAATTATTTAATGAAATTGAAAGGGAAGTCATTCTCCCAGATTCATCCCAGAAGTAAGCATTATCCTGACACCAAAACCAGAGAACAATACAACCAAAGAGAGAACTGCATACCAACCTCCCTAAGGAACATAGACACAAAAATTCTCAGTAAGATAGTGGCAAACAGAATGCTGCAAATCATCAAGAAGGTTATATATGTTTACCAAGTAGAATTAATCTTGGGGATGCAGAGATGTACAGGAAAATATTATAGGGTGAAAAGCATTGACTATATTGACTGAGATGGTTCCACTACAGTAGGTATTTGGCAAAATCCACCATGACTCCAACTTGGCTTCTTATCATTTTCTGAAACAAAGCATCTAACTGTAACAAAGAACTTCAATTTGGTTTGCTCATCAACTGAATCCCATTTTTAAAGAAAATTGTTGACCGATGGTCTCTTTAGATAAACACAGTGTCATCTTCTATCCAACAACCCTAAACTGAAAGTACATAGATTTTGACCTAAGGAATAGAGGTAATTTAAAGCAAAGTTCATAAACCAGCTAATAAAACTGTTATACTGATAAAATAATGAACATCACAACTTCTAAATTCCTCTTTCAGTCCCAGAAGTTATCTGAGCATTAGATATATTCCTTTCTCACAAATAGGGGTCATAGAAAGTTTCCAAAAGGAGCTTGACTTTTCTTATTTAAAAAGAATATGACCACTATTTTAAAGTCTTAGTTTAATCTAAACTCAGAAAAAGGAAGTTAGAAGATACACTGAGCATAGTTTTATTATTTTCTTTATTGGTAAGAGAACAGAAACCGGTGCTTTTGTCAATCTTCCACAAACTCTATTACAGTTCTTATAACATAAAGGATAATGTATTCTCCTTCTTCAGTGGCTTTGTATAAGTAAAGAAATGCATCCCTAAATAATCTGGTCAGGTGACAGTGTCATTCTTAGGATTTATTGCATATGTCTTACACTAGAATTAGTAACAGGTCAGCATGAAGATATTCACTCCACAGTTAACGTCTGACACCAGAGTTTTGCCATAGAATTTTTCATCTCTGAATTCCTCAGAGTATATATTAAAGGGTTCAACATAGGAGGAACCACCGTGTAAAAAATGGTTATGAACTTGTCAAAGGGAAAGTTGGAGACAGGTCTGACATACATGAAAATACAGGGAACAAAAAATAGAACAACCACAGTGATGTGGGAGCTGCAGGTAGAAAGGGCTTTTCTCCTCCCTTCCTGACTGTGAGTTTTAAGAGAGTTTAGGATGAAGCCATAGGAGATGACCAGCAGGATAAAGACCACCAGGCAGATGGCGCCACCATTGGCGACCACAGTGAGGCCTGTAAAGTAAGTGTCAGTGCACGCAAGCTCCAACAATGGGTACATGTCACAGATGAAATGATCGATGACATTGGGGCCACAGAATGGGAGATGAGACACAAATACAAGTTGAACCACAGAGTGCCCAAAACCCCCAGCCCAGGCCAGCACCAAAAGGATGTTGCAAACCCACCGATTCATGATATTCAAATAGTGCAGAGGCTTGCAGATGGCCACATAGCGGTCAAGGGCCATCACCACCAGAAGGAAGACCTCAGCACCACCAAACAGGTGCTCTATGAAGAGCTGGCCCATGCAGGCTGGGAAGGAGATGGTCCTTCTATCACTGAGCAGGTCTATAAGCAGCTTGGGTGTAATGGCAGTGGAATAAAGAGCATCCATGAGTGACAGATAGGCCAGGAAGAAGTACATTGGGGAGCCGAGGGAGGGGCTGGCAAGGACAGTGACCATGATGAGCAGGTTTCCAACCATTGTCACAGTGTAGATGAGTAAAAACATGATAAATAATTCCATTTGTCCATTGGGATCCTGAGTGAGGCCCAGGAGGACAAATTCGGTGACATTGTTACCATGTGCCATTCAGTCTTCCGGTAGGCTTGTTTCAGAGATGTGGGCTCAGGAGAACAGGACCTGCCAGGACAATGTGAATAGAGCCATGATTCCATTCTATCGAGGTGCACACCTTCATCACTATGTGTTCTGCAGTAGTGACTACACAGCAAACAGTTAATAGCTTTCGAATTCCTGTTTCAACAAGCCCAATAAATCTTTATTTGATGATTCTATTTCTCCTCTGATGATTTTTAGGGAGGAGACCCACCCACTGTTATTAGTTCTATCTCTGTCATAGATGACAGTCTATACAGTAGAGTAGTAAACACCCAGGCCTATTTAATAAATGTTTCTTTTAAATATGTCTAGATTTAGAATTCAGCAATGATGAACAGGGAAAACATTCCTGATGCCAAGAAGTATTCTCTTTAGTGGTGACAATAAATTTTAAATGATGAGCTAACATAGATTCAGTCATTTTAGTTTATATTTGTGTGGAATGACTTTATCATATCATCTGTACTACACTAAAGATAACTCTTGTTTTGAACCCTCCCACACATTAGATGACTGATCTTTCATACATCAAAGAATGTTGCATGTTTTTTTCAAAATCTCGATAAATCTCAAGGTCATAGATTTTGAGATGTATCAAATAACTGCAAAATTTTTCAGCACATCAATACCTCTAGCAACTACTTATCTATATATGGCTTTTCGCTTTTGAGACTTATAATCTTGTCTATTTTATTTTTTCCAATACCAAGTTCCTAGCAAATGTATGCTTTCTATCTTGATTTACAGCAATTATTTTTAAATGAACTGAATTAATTCATGACTAGAAAGAACCAGTGTATTAACACTGGCACTGTGTTAGATTTTCAGGACACTTAGAGTAATCCAGATACTAAGAAGCAATAAAAATAGAAAATGGAACAAGAAGTGGAGAATGCTGTGTCATGGTGTTTTATATAAGACTCCCTATGTACTGAGAATCCTTAAAAATAGAATTTCAGTGTGCAGATTCTAAAACACAATCTACTCAAGGGAAAAGTCTACCTGTACTGAGCAAAAAGGCATGGATTTGAGTGACTTTCTAAACATAATTACAAATATTTCTCAGCACATTAAAGTAAAAGAATTGAATGAGATGAGGTCAGAATCTTTTCTACCCCAACTAATCACATCATTGTCAGTCCAGACCTCTGTTTCTTACTCTGTACAAGTTTTACATTTTCCATATTTTATCAGAAGATAGCAATTTGCAAGGTTATTATTGTTACTCCAATAATGCCAGCCTGTAGCAAATGAGATATGACAGTGGCCAAAGAATGACTAATTTTCCATTCAGTGTCTGCCTGAGCAGGACCCAAGTCATCCTTGGAGAGTATAGCAGAGTCCTGAGCACTGTACAGCTGGGCTTTGATGCTTGTGTTGCAATCCCAGGTTAGTTCCTTACCATGTAAGCGACACTGGACAACTTAAATGTCCCTGTACCCTCATTTCATCGTGTGAACATGGGGATACCTGCAGCATCTATCTCGTAATGTTATTTTTATTACACATCTAGAGCACTGTAGGGCATCTGATAAATTCTAAAAATGTATTTATTATTTTTTTATTTTAAAGAGAGTAGTATATAAGAAACAAACAAACAATAAAATAGAACAGTAGCAGCATACCAGTATCACGAACATAAACAAATCAAAGCAGAACATTCAAAGTGATACAGGGTCTCAAGACAAATTAATACAAATCAACAGTGGTTGTTAAATTGCATATCACAATCCTCAATTACATTGTAATAGTGTTTTTTAGTGTTTCACTATAAGCATTAATCTCTGAGAATTTAATCAGAATTATAGACATAGTCCAGAATATAAAGACTAGTATACTTATAACTATGAATCCCTTTTTTGAGTATAGATTAAAATTGCATGTCTTAGAAATTTCCTATTTTGTTATATATAAGTACTACCACTATTTACCAGTGACGTATTGTGACTAGAAGCAAGAGAATTTTATGCACATGGAACTGGTAGTGGAGGACATGCAGGAAGAGTCTGAGCTGTCTTTGGAAACCAGCTGTAAGGAATCTTCCACACATGTCACTCCCAGAACTTCTCCCCTCTGACTCAAATGTGCTACTGTGTAAGCTATGGACCAAAAAACCTTGGCTGTTGAAGAGGAAAGATGGTATGACCAATGTTCTGATTTTCAAAATTTACTTTTTTTTGTTTAGAATAACACAATTTTTAATGCACAAAACACTAAAAAGAGATTTCACGAAAGAAGTTATATATATGGTGAATAAGAACATTAAAAGCGTGCTCCACATTATCAGACCTCAGGAAAATGCAACCTAACACTATAGTTAGATTTTATTCAAAATTTACTTTCTGAGCTACTTACCCTCTTTAATTATCAGTGTAAATTTCAACAGAACATGTCTATTAGCCAGTTTTATTATCTACATGTTAAAAATAAGGTATGAAAAGCATGCACTTGGTCTATAGTGCACATCATCAACAAAACCGAAAGATACTGTGTGAATCATCTCTCAAATTGAACTTTTAAATTTTTTATAGAAAAAAATTATCATAGGTTCTTAAGACATAGGTTTTTTTGGTCAAAACATAATATCATAGCAGCAAGAATGCTCCACATGGTACCTTACAGTAACAGAATTATTAATCTCTGAATGACAGTGGGTGAGTTACTTCCTTGGGCATGGATGTCTCTTTGTATAAGTACTGATGTATTTACTGGGATCATTTTAAGATTCACCCATTGAAAACATACATTACCATCCAGAGCATAATAGATATTTATTCCACTATTTTCTAGCATACTTCATCTGATATGTAATTTTATGTTTTCTAATTCAAATATATACCTAAAAGAAACTGTACTCCTTTGTTATCATATTATGCAGCATACAATATTCTATAAACTTAGGTAAATCAATAGTTTATTTGCTGTACGTGCAATATGTATTGTTTGTCTTTTGAAGAAATGCAGATAAATACCTATGAAATGTAATACTAAAACAAAATATAACTTGCACACTCTAACTAATATCTGCATTTTGCTGGCCTTATTAGTCCAGTTCAGATACCTACCATGAGAATATAAGACATTGCTGCATTTCAGTATGACACAGGAATTTCCAGCTAGCATCCACTGTCAGCTTTTTTATGAGCTCACATTTGGGTCTTGTCCTGAGTTTGGAAAATCAAGGCTTCTTTCACTGAGGGTAATTGTAGATGTCTCCTGTAGCTCCATGTGATCATAAACATGAAAATGTGAGGCTGACCAGTGCATCTAGAAATAGTTCCACGTGGTTACACTTTCCATACACCAAAATAGTATTCACATTACTTTCATCTCTCACATAAATCTTAAGTTCTATAAAGCAGATGCCTAAGATATAAAAACATTTAAAGAACAACACTTACCATATAAAAGTAGTGGAATATTCTCACCTGCTGGAAGAATTTCTTCATGTAAAAACAAATATTCTAAGCTTACATGACTATGTAAATTTCATCTCACCAGTAGTAATTAGCCTGGCCAAGTCTATTATTTGGTAGAATAAATAAAACTTTTGACAGTACTAAAATTAGTTTTACAGAATTTTCTCAGATATGATGAAGAAATAAAAAACCTTTATTAGGAGATTTATGATATTGTGCATTTGTCTACCTACAAAATTTTGTACCTAACAAACCAAAGACTGGCTTACAACTTCATGACCTGTACAGACACATAAGCACATTTAAATATAACTTCAATATTTATAGTATGAAGGTTGTTTAAAATTTTTACCTGCTGAGAAACATCTTTATAGGAAAAGGAAGCTGCTATTTGTGTTCAGTTATGTAAAAACAAATTGACCTAATTAATGGAAATTCCCACGACTAAATGCATTATCTGATGGTCACATAAAGAAAAAATATTCACAACACAGAAGTTTTCCATGTGATTTTCTTCTCCTTTCAATAACTTATTGTAAAAATAACCAAAAAGTCCTTTGCTTTCAGGGATTTCAGTGACATTCATGTACCTGATTGACAAGCTCTGTACCTAAAAAAAAAAAGTTTGCGATTCAATTTTTGAAACAGTCACAGTGGAAGTTTTCTCACAAGTAGAAACAGAACTCTTCAGTCCTTTAGTCATTTGAGTGGCATTTTCCTAAGGCCCATCTTCTTCCAAATTAAAAACTTGTCCCTACAATTCCCAAATTCATCCTAAGAAGCTCAACTATTCCACAAACTTCTAAAAGCAATGATGATATCAGGACAAAGCAGGGCACCTCTAGTTCCTGATATTAACTGAATACATGCTCCAGCTGGGGCTGAATTTGAGTTTTTGGAAACCTCCTGGGTCATTCTAACAGGAGAATAATTCTTGCATTTATGCATGCAAATACAGTCTATGACATTTCTCTATCATGACTATCTTTAATAGATCCATTTGTTAGACTATTTGGAAAAGATTCAAGTGCAGTAATCTCCCCTGAATGGGTTTCTTCCCATGACAATCCCTAGAGGATAAACATCTGAGTTTTGCCAGGAAAGACTAGCTCACTGCCAAGTGATATGGAAACCTCTCATGTGAAAATATTCCAAAATGTAAAGTTAATAAACAATTGGTTAAAATATTTAGTCACAGAAAAGAATATGCAAACCAGCATGAAACAGCCACAAATTGCACACCAAGTCAGCCCAGCCTAGGTGTCCTTACTCAGAAACCCTGCAAATGCAATGAAACCCTGAATTTGGGTCTCTTCCTTCACAAATGCACAATAATTCTAAAAGTCATGAATAAAAATCTAAACACCAAGTGATATACCCAACTGAGAGGAGCATTCTGTAGTTGCTTCACTCTGAGGGAAAACAGATTAAATTAGAGGTCTACAAAGAGGAGTGACCTTTGTAAACAGGCTTTCTCGTGAGAGAACAAAGGGGGTTACTCTTGATGTAGGAGTAGTAAAATTCCAATAATATCCAAAGGAACTCAAACCTAGC